TAAAAATAAAGGACCAAGTCTGAAAATGAATGAAGACTAACAAAGAAAAGCTGAAAATCTGATAGGCATCATTTGTGCCTATAAAAGGGCATGACCCTTACTTCATTCACAAGTTTTGGAGCCTCAAAATTTCCCCCCAAAAATATTCTCCAAGCTTCCTAGATCTGAAATTCAAATTTAAAAACCAAACTCCCTTGGATCTTTGTCTTCTCAAAATTTTCAGAAAAAACAATAGAAATCATAAAAATTATTGTTACATTAGTTTTTCGTTAGGTTAATTTCAAGTTCCAGCACTAAATTCAACTTCTAGCTTAGTTAGGATCTCAAAACCACTGGAATCTCCCAATTTCTGTTCAATATCTGAAGTCTGAAGTATGTTAAATTGTCTGTGCACTGGTTTTTGATTCATTTGAATTGGCTGTGGGATCTTCATCGAGTGTGTTGAGTTGCTGGGTTCGTTTCTGATTATATTGGTGCTGCTTTGGGCTGATTCACTAATTCTGTTGTGTTTGAAATATTTTTGGATCGTGATTCTACTTTCTGGGTTGTTCATCACCTGCTGTTGTTGACCTCATTTTTACTTCTTATTTCACACTTCCAGGTATATGTTCTGTAGCTCTCAAGTCTATGGAAATGAAGTAAATATGCTATTTGAAGTTGATATCTGGACTCATCCCGTTTTTGTTTGATTTTAATTTGTAAAACAGTTAGCCTACTTGATATTTTGTGTCATTTGTGTAACTAGATTGATTCTGGATTGTACAATTTGGACTATTAAACTGGAGATTGTTCATTGGCCTTAAGTATAGCGTAGTTTTGTTTTTGTGTAATTCGATTTTTAAAATTAGGAGAAAGTTGGAACAGGAAATTGTTTTGAGATTTGTGATCTTCATTCGTAGTTAACAACTGGGAATTCGAACTACTGTGACTAGTTAACAAAAACAACACTTGTAATATTAACAGATTCAAATTTGGTAGTCAGTTACTGATTAGAATTTAGTTCTAATGAATTACAGGCTCTTGTTAGTGTAGTTCTAATACAAGTCACGCATGAAATCCACGAGAGGAATTAATTAAAACAGATGTGAATGTATAGCATTTCTGATCCAATTACGTATGGTTAATAGTATATCATTGAGTTGTTTATTCACATCAAGTTGGATTCAGGGTCGAACTCAGGAATGTTTACTTGTTTGCAAACCATTAAACTCATGTTTGTACATTGAAATCAGTAATTTGAAACAAGCAAAATCAGCCCTGGGTTGTGGGCCAGACATGATCGCTCTTTTACTCAGATGGGACTTGGGCCTAGATTTGTTTGCCCAAAGACCCAAAGCAAGCTTTTCACGAAGTGGCCGGTATTTTTCCACCCGGGGTAGTAGCTGAGACCCAAAATGTTAAAGGATTTATTAAGGATTTTGTTCAATTCATGATGCAAGTGTCGGCTTTTGAGTTAGGTAGCGGGTTCGAATTAAAAGGTCTTCCTTTTGTTTGGACCCGGACTTGAACTTGAATCCGGGCTTACAATATTAATTAATTCTGATTTATTTTATTTTAGAGACAAAATAGTAAGAAGAAAATCATAGTCACCTTAGGATTGACCTTTAAATAAAAATGATAAGACGAGCCTCGCCGAATAAAATACAAATTGCGGGGCCCTCAATAAATGCTTGTACTAAAATACTTAGACTACGGGACGGGCCGTTTAGAGAATTTCACGACCTTCCCCAAAGATAATAATGCGCTAGTCACTTTAGGCGCGTTTGTAATAATTTTACCTTCTTAAGTACGGGTGCACATTTATGTGACCCAAATCCAAATCTCAACGAAGTCGAAACGTTTCAAAAATCGCGGGTGCATTATGTGACGCGGTTCGAGACATGTTTTCACGACGTTGCAATTCTCTTAAAAATAATAATAAAAGCGGTTCAAAGTTAAAAAGCACATAGGTCAAAACATATACTAAATCAAATAAATAAGCCAAATATGACAGTTGAGCGACCGTGCTAGAACCACGGAACCCGGGAATGCCTAACACCTTCTCCCGGGTTAACAGAATTCCTTACCCGGATTTCTGGTTCGCGGACTGTTAACAGAGTCACACTTTCCTCGATTCGGAATTTTAAACTGGTGACTTGGGACACCATAAATTTCCCAAGTGGCGACTCTGAATATTAATAATAAATCCCGTTCCGATTGTCCTTTAAGTGGAAAAACTCCTTTCGCCCTCGCGGGTGTAGAGAAAAAGGAGGTGTGACAGGGTGCTCGGGTCGGATTTCATCTTTTGCGGCAATTGCACCTTTGGACCGAGCTTCTCTAGTGCGTACACTAAATCTGAAGGGGAAACAAAAAATTGTGAGCAGATAAGAGTGGAGGCATACTTCTTTCGTTTCGATGTGGCGCGGTATGTCGAGGTGGGACATCTGTGTGCCGCGGAGGAGGTGGGATGGGTGCCCTGATGTAGGACTGATGTCTTTCTCGGCTAAGATGGGGTAGCTGGTCCCTTCGACCGTCATTGTGATAGGCGTTGTGCTGGTCCCTTCGCCATTGAGGTCATCCTCGTCGGCCCTTACCTCGGCGCAATAGGCGTTGTGAATTTCTTCCCATGTGGTGGGAGGGTATTTCATGAGCCTGCTTAACAGCTTTCTAGTCGCTCTCGACCCACTCCTGTTTAACCCGTTTTGGAAGGCTGCTACCGCCATCCTCTCTGACACATTTGGTAGGCTCATTCTCACCCTGTTGAATCGGGCTAGAAAGTCCCTGAGTCCCTCGCCGGGCGTCTGTCAAACGGCGAAAATGTCATTTACCCTTGCTTCCGCCTTTTTAGCTCCTGCATGAGCGGTGACAAACTTGTCTTCCATTTCTTCGGATGTTGCTATTGACCGTGCTGATAGTTGCGAGTACCAGGTTAGGGCTCCCCCTGTTAGGGTTTCTCCGAACTTTTTCAGCAGCACCGATGGTACTTGTTCTTTTGAAAGATTGTTGCCCTTTACGGCTGTGACGTAGTGGATGATATGATCTTCTGGGTTTGTAGTACCATCGTATATCTTCAGGTACGGTGGCATTTTGAAGGTTTTTGGAATGGCGTGGGAGGTTGCTTATTCATTGTATGGTTGTTCGATTAATCGACCAACGTCCTGTTTTGGTAACAACTTTGGGGCGCCTGGTATTTTGTCGACCCTTTCTTGATGCTCCTGCATCTGGTCACGGAGTGCCTTATTCTCATTTTCCATTTCCTCCATCTTCTTTAGGATGGCTGTGAGTGCGTCATTACCTGTGTCAATAGTAGTATGAGTGTTACCTGTGCGGCAGGTATCTAGTTCGTCGGCGATTGTTGCGACATCTACGTGTGTAATGTCTCCATTCTCCGTTTGAGCGGGTTTATCAAGTATGTTGTTCAGAGTGTTTGTCAGCCACTCTTCCAGTAGTCTTTTTACCGCCGGTAGGGCCTCTCCTGTTGTAGACGTGGAGGCTTCCTTCTCGCGCGAAGCAGTTACGCGTTCATGCTGGGAAGGTGAAGTGTCTCCCCTAGGTGTAGTGTTTGGTATCACGTTTTCGTTATCTTCCTTGCCGTCTTCGTTTATGGTGTTCAGGATGTTGGTTGTGACTCCTGCATTTGCTTTTAACCTTGCATCTCATTTTCCTGCCATTGTTAGTTTGTGCAAAGCTAGAAAGAGGTGAGTATCCCTTTTTATGATCTAGATGAAACTAAAATCTTAACTAAAGAAATTCCCACAGATGGCGCCAAATTGTTTGATCAAAGAATTTGAAAACCCTTTTGATTAAATCAATTAATGATAATGATGAGGTCGATCTTAGTTAAGCACAATAAAATCTAGATCTAGCGATGGAAGTAAGTAAGATGAATAATGTGACTAGGATGCTGGAATCGAATAAATGCTCATAAATGTGAAGACGTTAATGCACAATCAATCTGCATAGATACAATCGGCGTAGGGAAGGAAAAAATATCAGATGATTGGGGAATCCTTGGATCTTTTCTATCTGATGTAATGATATATACTTTCTTGTTCCTGCAATCAGTGAACCAGACTACTTTTGTATTCACTCTCCAACAATTCTTTTACAAAGTGTTCTTTTGTCTTTTTTGTCTCTCCCTCTTTTTCTACTGACTCTTCCTATTTATAAGGGACAATCCCCCATGAAACCCTAAAAAAGTACAACATGAAGAATATTCGAAAAGCATATCCTTGTTGTCCCCTACTAAGCTTACACCATCGTAGACGTCGTGCATCAATTGACCGCCCTTGGTCGCTGCCTTTAACCACGACGGCCATCAGATGCTACACCACGATAGTCTCGTTCCTCGTCGTACTCGGTAGTGGTCGTGGTTGCCGAATTTGAACCTATACATAATTGATTTTTCTTTGTAAAACTACAATATTTTTTCAAATAAAATAAATATATATCCAAACATAAATTTTAAATTTCAAATACTCATCTTAAACTTACCTCCAATTTCTTTTAAAAAATTTAATAGTATATATCTTTTATGTCCAAACAACTACTCCCTCCGTTCCAATTTATGTGAAGCTGTTTGACTGGGCACAGAGTTTATGAAAAAATGAAGACTTTAGAATTTGTGGTCCTAAACAAGTCCAAATGGGGCCCATAGTATTTGTCTTGTTATAAAAGCTTCTTATTAAGGGTAGAGTTGCAAATTTAAGCTAAATTATTACCAAATTTAGAAAGGGTTCATTCTTTTTGGAACGGACCAAAAAGGAAATAGGTTCACATAAACTGGAACAGAGTGAGTAATAAATAAAGACATGGAGAGAACGTGTCCTACTGCCAGCAGCTCAAATCGTACAACAAACAGTCTTACACCTCCAAATGGGTCAGACATATATAATCAGTATCTGCTGACCCTACTGTCACGTCCCCTACTACCCCCCCTCCCCATCCAATTTTTCGTCTATACCCCTCAACCCCATTTCTGTCTTTTCATCATTTCTTAACCAGAAACCCCCCTATATAACCCAACCTTCCCCGTTCCCGTTTTCTCTCCTCAACAACAAAAATATCAGTGAGTTCTATTGTCAATCTTAGGGAAATTTTTTTTTATCTTCATCTCTCAATTCTACTGTTAATCTTTCAGCTTAATTTTTGTTTATTTAGACAAGTAACAATTATGGGTTTTCCAGTAGGCTACACGGACCTATTTCTTCCAAAATTGCTCGTACACATTCTTACAATTTTGGGTTACATTAGAAAATTCATTTGCACGCTTTTAACTATTCTGGGTCTTGGGGATTTTCTAGAACCCGAAATGCCGTTTCTAGCCCGACCCGAATCTTGTTCGGAGCTCCAATATTCCTTGTCGGGTGTTCTAATCCGGGAGCTTTTACCGGTTGTCAAGTTTTCCGAGCTAGTGGACCCACCAGAGAGCTGTGCGGTTTGCTTGTACGAGTTTGATGGGGACGATGAGATCCGACGGCTCACAAATTGCCGTCACATATTTCATAGGAGTTGTCTGGACCGTTGGATGGACCATGACCAAAAGACTTGTCCGCTTTGTCGGACGCCGTTTATACCGGAGGATATGCAGGAGGTTTTTAATGAGAGGCTTTGGTTGGCGTCTGGGATTTCTGATTTTTGCGGCGATTTTTCTCCCATTATTGCCGGTTTATAGTACTTCCATTTTCTTGTGATTATTTTTGTTTTGTTTTTTGGAGGGGTAGGATAGAGGTTGAGGTGAATTGACAATGTGAAATGTATATACAAGAAATTAGAATATGCATACTGCAAATAGTCAATTGATTTTGTGGTCAATCACAATCTATTTTTAGTTTTATGTGCAATTTCTCGAAAATTATTTATATTTACATGTAAGAGATATAAAAATAGAAAAATTTCACATAAGAAAAACTGGACTCCTTACTTTTCAATTTTATAGCCCATATTTCGTAAAAATTGTACGGGGCGCCCTATTTGGTCGCTTCCATTTAATCTATACCCATATTTTTAAAATTATTTGACCTGTACCCTAATTTTTACAACTTCAAGCCCCTCCTTCTTCCTGCTACATGTGCGCTCCTTTCTTCCTCCTTTCTTTTCCTCCTCCGCAAATGAAACTCTCATGTTTTGCCTAGCTATAGGATCTTCCTTATGTGGTCTTGTGCTTACTGATAAACTAACAAAGTATTTAGTTGATGATTATGGAGATTTAGCAAATATGTGGCATGAAAAAACTTCTCATCTTTTTCCATAAGAAAACACATGAGTCCTGAAAGAATAGCCGCTGGAATCACCTTCATCACCTCCAAAGTTTTCTTTCTCCGACTGTCTCTGACTGGACAGTTCGAATGCAGTGCAGTGCCCAACATGGAACAAGATTGGGAGTTGGAATTCCATGTTTTCATTGCCAATTCATTCAGAAACACCACTTCCCGTCCCACTTGCTCGTCCGCCCCTCTCTTACCCTCTGTAGCTGAACCCATTCCTGGCTCGGCTCCGATAACGCAATTCCGGGAGGGGATAGGAATCTTCTGCCTATGGGGAGTTAACTGGCGCCTTCTTAAAGCACCTGCCCGGCTTTCTTCCTTTGCCTTCCCTAACTCTTCTGAGAAGAAAGGGGATCCTGTAGGGCGGGCGGCCGACTTTCGATACTTTCTGCCAACTCGATTTCAATACTAAGCGGGCTGCGGGAACGAGTGTTGTGCTTGCCCCGACCGATACCACCATTCATTACCGTGAACCAGCTGATTGTGATAGCTTTTATAGGATATGTACTACCTTGGAGTCATATGAGCTTTTGGGGAGCTCTTTCAACCGCTCAGACATCCATCCCCTTCGCGCTTCGCCCGCCCTATCCATCCGCGCGCTGGCGGGTAGAGACGATGGGGGATAAGCTTCATCGTCGAGAGGGAAAGAGCCCGGGGCTCTGTTGTTTTGCACGCCTACAGAGAGAGACTCCAAAAGTACCGACTGAATCGCTTCATGCAGGCGAGTTGCAGCCTAAAATCTGAACTGTGGACGGGTTTTTTGGAGTTAGCTCACATGAGCTTACTGATTCAAAGCTCTCATGAGATCTCGTTGGCATGCCCTACCAAATGAAAAGGAAGTCGCGGGGCTTTATGATCGGAGAAAGAGAAGGGGCGTGGTTGGTGTGTCACTGGGTCGCTGGGGGAACCCGTAGGAAGGGGGGACGACCCGCCGAATTCACATCAGAAATCGCTTTTCGTTGGTCAACAACCAACCAAAGTGCTCTATACTTCTTCACTACTCGTACAGGCTTGACGGAGGCCTTCTTCGTTTTCGGCATTTCAATATTCTGAAATAGAGACCCAAATTAATGAGAAAATGACTTGTAATTGTGAAGCTATAACTATATCTTAATTAATCGGAAGAGTTAGTGGCTATCCTGCACAGGAAGAAGTCAACTCTTTCCAAAGCAAGGGGCTAGCCCTCTCTTCTCTCTCTTTGTCCACGCGAAGATTCCATTCCTTTCCTTTCCTAGCCTATTCAATGTGGTATTTATAACTAGTGGTTTTGTTGGTTGGTTAATTGGTCACATTTTATTCATGAAATGGCCTAATTCTATTGAGTTAATTACATCTCCTTGACTTTGTTCACATTCAGTAGCAGCTTGCTGGTGTCTTCCACGGGTGGATTCCCGGGAACCTGCTGTAGCCCCTCTTGCCCCGCGTTCGACATGATTTGAACGACCTCTAAAAAAGGTTCTACGGCCTGTAGAAGTTCATTAAACATGATGGTTTGGTTCATTCTTTGATTGCTCTGCTCCCCCCAAACAAAAAGAGAGAGGGCATTTCCGGGTTATGTCTGTGCTGTGACCTTATGAACCGTGTCAGAATAAGTATCAAATAAACCAAAAGTTATCAGCTTCTTTCTTATGTGCTTCAGTTCGATAGATCTGGTAGAAATTAATCCTTAAACTTCAGAACTTCTTGTTCTTCGTAGCGATTCTCCTCCAGCTCCCTCTTCTGTCATACATGAAATCAGATGGGAAGAGTTCACATAGTAATGTAAACTGCAGTGTTACTTGATGAACATAAATGGTTCAATTTATGAAATTTTCCCATACTGCTACAAACTTAATAAGATCACATCAGGTTTAGAGAAAGCTTCTTTGAGGCAGTAGACCTATAACGAGTTTGTGACTTTAAATATAGTCCATAAATCAGCTGAAGTTCAACAAATATAGAACAAAACTTCAACTAAAACATGCTGAAGTTCAGCAAATAGAGAACAAAACTTCAGCTAGTAGAATGCTTAAGTTCAGCAATTACAAACAAAAACTTCAGCCAACACTAAGTTTACGCAAAAAACTTCAGCTAAAACATGCTGAAGTTCAGCAAATAGAGAACAAAACTTCAGCTAGTAGAATGGTTATGTTCAGCAATTACAAACAAAAACTTCAGGCAACACTAACTAAGTTTACGCGAAAAACTTTAGCTAAAACATGCTCAAATTCAGCAAATAAAGAACAAAACTTCAGCGAGTAGAATGCTTAAGTTCAGCAATTACAAACAAAAATTTCAGCCAACACTAAGTTTACGCAAAAAGCTTCAGCTAAAACATGCTGAAGTTCAGCAAATAGAGAACAAAACTTCAACTAGTAGAATGCTTAAGTTCAGCAATTACAAACAACTTCAGGCCCGTCTACTAGAATGCTGAAGTTTGCGTGATTGCCTTTGCTACTTCAGGCCCGTATGCCTGAAGTTTACGCGAAAAGTGGGTACGCTTTTAATTTTTTTTGCAAAGCGGGTATAAGTTAAAACGTGACCCAAAAAGTGGGTATAGATGTAAATCCCCCCCCCCTACCCCCCCCCCCCCCCCATATTTCAATTTATAACTAACTAGTCCAAAAATAATAGGCTAGATTTAACATCCAACTCCAATAGGTTCTCGCAATTACTATTTAATTTTAAAAAAAGATTGCTCAAGCTTTTAAGTTAATTTCGAATCAGTAAATGTGACTCAAATATTAGTTCAACAAACCAAATCCATTTACGTGGTGAAAATTATTTTTTTTCTCAAGCTTAAATATGTGGCTTTAAATTCCGAATTTGATTTTGTGAAAAATTTGGAGTGGGTGTTATTTAGACTTGTTAGAAATAGTATAAGGAGGTTGTATATAAAATTTGAAGTCACTTCATGAAAATTTGGACTGATTTTGAACAAGAATTGTAACCGAAAATCGTAAAAGAAGTTCGTCTACAAACGCTTATAAAGGTGTATAATAGTGTATAAGATGTGTTTATACACTCGTATACACTAACATACAAGATTATACATAATTATTCAAAAAACTGACTTCGTCTTCTTCCTTACGTCTTTTCTGAAATTTATCTCAAATTTTGCTCAAATCTACTTCAAACCACTTCAAATTTAAATTCTGAACTCCTTTTGATATTTTCAATCAATTGGAACAACGCCCAATCCAAACAACTAACAAACTTAAAAAATTCTATTTTCGAAAGCAAAGCTTTGAATGGCCTTCAATGGTGGACTTCTACTCTTTAAGTTTCTTACATTGCAACCAAGTGACACATGGGGAGAAGCAGAAAATACACGACCCCTTGAAGCATATGTAGAAGATGTGAGAAGAAGAGAGAGTAAAAGCAATGATTGTGAGAACACGTAATTAACTCCATAGCTTTTTTAGAAGCAATAGTTGTAAGAACACATATTTTGAATTTGCTAGTGCTTTCAAAGTATGTACAATATGGGCTAAGTCGGGTAAAACTTAAAAATATAGACCATTTTTTGTTATGGTGTGAAGCCACGTGTATTTTTTTTGTAATTCTTTCTATAAAAATATAGAAGACAATGACAATACGAATATATTTATGCATAATTATATGTTCTTTTAATAATTCAAGAAAACTTATAGGATACATTTACCGTATAAGGCGAAATACATAAACGGCCCCTTTAAGTTGTCCCCAACAATCAGACAAACACCTCAACTGAACCCTTTGCCATTTAGACACTTCAAGTGTCCATTAATCAGATCAAATAAACACATATTGCTGATGTGGTATGCACGTGTTTGCTAATAAAATTTTAAGCGCGGGAATCATTTTTCAGCCCAATTTTTTTTCTTTGAAAAAACTTAAGAATTGGGTGTATCTTAGCCTCTCTTCTTGGCTTGACTAACCCATGTCAACGCCACCGTGAAACCACCATTAAAATCAGCCAGCAAATCTCCAAACAAGCTACCGAAAATCACCAGAAACTGCCCCTTTCATCACAAAATTCCACTGCCCGTAACCTACAGAGCTCCGCGTAATTCCTTCAAGTCAAAACTAGTTCCAAACACAACTGATAAGAAGGAAAATTTACAACAACAATAGTTGCAAAAAACTACCAAATCTCCACTAGATAAACGTCCTCTTTCCCCCAACAACACCTTCATTCCAATAGAAACACACAAACAACAACCAATTATTTGAATCAGCCAACAATTTTAAGGATAATTTTATACCAAAAAAATTAGAGAAGTAAAAGTTATATAAGCCCAAACTCATAGTCAAGAAAACGATGAAGAGAGAAGAGTGAAGATTGCAGTAGAATCATTTCGTTCAGATTTGCTCGGAGATTAATTTTCCGGCGAGAGAGGTCGCATGGGAGCGAGCTTTTTCCGACGAGTTCCGTCAATGATCACTTAGTGGGAAGGGGAAGGGGTCTGATAGGAATGACTTATGTTCAATTTTGTTGGATGGAGGATCGATTTGAAGGAAGCAGATGAAGGGGGGTGGGGTGGCGCTGGTTTTGGGCGAAAGAAGAAGATGAAGTTGGTTGGGGGAGGAGGAGGGGGAGGGGGGGGGG